CACACCAAAGAGATGACTAGTTGCTTCTAGTGTGGTCTCTGAGAATAGAGAAGTTCAGACGTAAATTACTCAACCAAATCTTTCCCCATGCTCCACGGTTACAGGGGTGTAGAATGGAAGCAACCAACTGTTTCTTTAGTACTAGAATATTGTTTTTCCTTTGTCTGAGAGTTATCTTTTGTGTGGAAGCTTAGCTACTTAGACAGTTTTGGTTTTTCTAAAGGAATGCTTTCTGTCTTGCTGACATTCTCTGAACTCAGAGGAGAGATGGAGTCCCTGAAATGACAGAAGACTCCTAGAATCTCCTGTGAGGTGTGGGGAGATCACCGGAGACAGAGTTTTCTGCAAGCTTAAGCACTGGTCAAGCAATTGTTCTGTGTAATCCAGGTTGGGTTGTGTAGCCCTAAAGGGAAGGGGTGGGACCTTTCTTGCCTACTGAAATGACATTTATATGTTTATTTTGTTGCCAAGAAGATAACAGGTTGCTTACTTACTTTGCTGATTTGGACTTAAGCTTCCATAGCAATGTTCTGAAGCTCCCACTCCTCAGACTTCACAGTGTTTATAGTTAGAGAAACATACCATTCAAAGCTCCGTTTCAGAACAGCATCTGGAAACAAATGCAACTGCCAACTTCCTAAAATGCTGAATCGATACATCTAATGGTGTAACTATGTATTATTGAATTAGTAGTGTAGTGATGCTCAGAACAAGTTTGACATTGGTTATGGTGAAGAGCCTGGAAGCATTCTGTGACTGCCAGCGGGGATTGTGGGCTGGTAAAGTGTGATGCAATAGAATGTCTGTCCTAAGTGAAAATGTCACTCTATTAAAAATAAACTCTCTGGAGTCTGCGGTAGAGCGTGGTGGGCACCTTAAAAGATTAGCAGACTTTTAGAACAGTGGTTCTAAACTGGTTCCTGACCCCTTGGCCATAAACATGGCTGTTACACATGGCCTGCAACTAGTCTGTGGACCAGCCCTAGTGAAAGGGAACTGGTGAATTATCAACTTTATGCATTTGTATTGCTAGTTTAAGAGGTTTGAGGGTTCACAGCAATATTTTGACCTAGAAGCTGGAGAATTGTGTTAGTGTAGGATTCCTGTAATAACTTGAATATTATTCCTAGAAGTTCAGAACTATGAAGCATGGACAATCCCACTGGCAAAGAGGTGTAGTCACTCTGTGGTATGTTTTCAGGCTGGCTACTTTGATTGAAATATCTCAGTAACTTTTTAAAAGATTTAGCGATGGAAACAAAAAGACAAGAAAAATATCCAAAAGGAATTAGCTGTGATCTACGGAGAATAATGGTTCCTGGCAGGCTTCTGACCTTCTTTGAAGAGAGGGACCTGTGGATGTTGAAGAAACTTCAATTTTTTTTTTTTTCCACGCTGTGGATAGAGTAGGGGGTCTTGCTAATGGATGCAGTTGCAACAGCCAGTCTGTATGACTGCATCAGATTGATTAGCCGGGTTCTGGTTACTGCTGCGAGTGGTGATTATGCCAGTACAGCTGCTTTCTCTTTTTATGTACTAATTACCACACGCACGGATGTCATCACCCTTAGCACTGCATGGAGTTGTCCCATTAGTGTGGGAGTGGGAAGCAGCAGGGGAGGGGAGCTCTTCGGCATGACAAGCTGTTTAGAAGTGAATGGAGTGGAGTGATGAAGCAACTATTCTTACACAGAATTTTTAAGCCATCTTGTCTTTGAGATTCTGCCCTCAGCCAACAGTTTTGCAGGTTGTCAGAACCAGTCCCATGTCCTTGGCAGCACCTTCCATGAGGTGCTATTTACTGCAGAGCACCTGGATGCTAAGCTGTAGCTAGCGAGTCTCTCCCACCACCTTTGCTGGTTGCGAAGCCTGTGCTGCGCAAACGCCCCTGCCGGTGGAGGAGAGCTGCCCAGGAAGGCAGCTTCTCTAGCTGCGATACCTTGCAAAGCCATTCTCCGGAGAAGAGAAACTGTTTGTTTCTGACTTGCCAAAGAAGAATATGATGGAAAACCCTTGCAGTTCTGTAGAGGTTTGGAATGCTTATTTTACAAATTTATGCTCCCAGCTCTGGCAGACCCCTCCTCGCCCCTGCCGGTGGAGGAGAGCTGCCCAGGAAGGCAGCTTCTCTAGCTGCGATACCTTGCAAAGCCATTCTCCGGAGAAGAGAAACTGTTTGTTTCTGACTTGCCAAAGAAGAATATGATGGAAAACCCTTGCAGTTCTGTAGAGGTTTGGAATGCTTATTTTACAAATTTATGCTCCCAGCTCTGGCAGACCCCTCCTTTTCCCCTCCTTCTTCCTCCTCCTCAAAATCCAGTCTCCCCATCTCAAACTGCATCATAATCTCCATGGTAACAGATGTTACCATCGTACATCTGATTTTTTTTTTTTTTAATTCTTTTTTCCCCCTCTTCTTTTCCTTCCCCTGCCCTGCCCCCTGCCACAGCAAGCGAGGTGAAGAGGGAATGGGACAGACATGACAGAGAGGGGTAAGAGCTGGATAAACCCCTAAGGGCCTATTCCTGCCATCCAAACAGCGAGCTTCTCTGAATGCACTAACTGCTGAGTGATAGCCAGGGTGAAGACTGACCAGCTTCTGTCATACCGAGAAATCCTTAAGGACATTTTCTCCTCTAATGTGGCCTCCTCAGAGGAGAGGTTAAATGTGTTACTGATGACGGGAAATAATGTAGCTATATTGTTTTGCTCTGACTTTGTTTGCATTACTATGGTCAAGATGAAGGTGCTGCATGCTAGCCATTGGAGGGCATACAGTTAAGTGGTCTCTGCCTCAGATTTCTCAAGTTAAAATGTCAACCAGACAAGATGTGGGGTGGGCAGTAGAGCTACAGAGAAAAACAGGCACATAAGCTGTCATCCTGAGTCCCAGTTTGTTATACTAGCTCATCAGTCCCACCCTAATGGATTCTAATTTTTACTTCAGGCCACTTCAGTGCAGTAGTGGTTGATCTGCTTTTCTGTCTACCTTTATCCTGTTGTTCCAGCACATC